AGTAGTAGTAGTAGTAGTAGTAGTAGTAGTAGTAGTAGTAGTAGTAGTAACTAATAGTATAGTAAATCTGACAGAGAATACCTGAACAAGGTATCTTGGTCGTATAACCGTGGGGCACTGGAGGCGAAGGTGATGAACGGCGCATTCTTCGTGCTGCGACGAACGGCAGTCGAATCGTTATGAATGCTGGCTTAAAAGATCCTAGGAAGCATTTATTTACCGCCTATTCAAAACAACTTCGTATTGCAAATCTAAACAGATCAGAGTTCAGTAATGGGAGCTGACGTTGTGTTAGAATTGCAAACCATAAGTGGCTCTGATACAGATAAAGGGAAGTACAACAGAGGTCTCGAATATGAACTAAACTAGGCGCTATCGGGGTAGAGAGGGAAAAGAACTGTTTCTAGTCGCTTTTCACTGCGTCTATTCACTTGTACAGGGAATTGTCATTTCTGCAGTGTCTAGGGTCCCACTCCATTCTAGCCACCTTCAAGACTGAATTCGAGGCACGGAGGAAGTATCTTACGGTGGCTATCAATGGCAAACCTGTACGCCTTCAGCGTGACACAGCATCAGACATAAGCCTCATCTCCAAACGCACTTGGCAGATGATTGGACAGCCCCCGGTGATCACATCAGACAAAAAGGCTATGAACGTTTCGGGCGGATTCCTCCAGCTCACGGGTGAGCTCGAATGTGACGTTTCCTTTGATGGCACTCAATTCACATGAACATGCTACCTAACCAACCGTCCGAAGCTGGACTTAATTGGCCTTGACTGGATCGAGAAACTCGGTCTCCTGGAACTGCCACTCAACCGCATTTGCAATAGTGTGCAGTCAACTTGGCCTAGTCCTGCCAAATCGACTCAGCTGGCGACAAAGCTGACGACGACCCTACAGGCGAAGTTTGCTCCAGTTTTTCATGACGGTCTTGGCTGCTGCAACAAGATGAAGGTCACTCTCCAACGTCAACCTAATACAAAACTTGTCTTCAGACCCAAAGGACCAGTTCCTTCTGCTGCACTTACTGTGGTTGACCAAGAACTTGATCGTCTTCAACGAGATGGTGTTCTTCAACCAGCCAATTACTCTGCATGGGCGGCTCCAATCGTGGCTGTCAAGAAAGCCACAGGTAAAGTCCGAATTTGTGCTGATTTTTCCACTGGTCTCAATGCTGCGCTGGACACTCATCGGTATCCCTTGCCCGTGCCGGAAGATCTTTATGCTAAGCTGAATGGTGGAACTTGTTTCGCCAAGTTGGATCTATCCGATGCATACCTTCAAATCGAGGTTGACGAAGGCTCTCGGGAGCTGCTAACCATCAACACCCATCGTGGTCTGTTCCAGTACACCCGTCTGCCATTCGGGGCTAAGACTGCTCCCGCGATCTTCTAGCAAACCATGGGCACCATGCTGACGGGCACAGAAGGAGTCACTGCCTATCTGGATGATATCATCGTCACTGGTTCAAATCCAGATGAAATGTTGCAACGTCTGGAAACGGTACTCAGCCGAATTCAAAACTATGGTTTCCGTCTACGTCTGGAGAAGTGCAATTTTTTCATGTCTTCTGTGAAATATCTTGGGTTCATAATCGACCAAGACGGTCGTCGCCCAGATCCAGAAAACATCGATGCCATCAAACAGATGCCACCACCAAAGGACGGAAATTCCTTGCGCGCTTTCTAGGGTCTCATGAGTCACTACAGCTCGTTCCTTCCGGACATGCACCGCCCTCGTCATCCGCTGCGTGAACTGCTCAAGAAAAATGTCAAGTGGTCCTGGTCGCGAGAGTGTCAACAAGTGTTCGAGGGAGTGAAACCGATGTTGAGCTCTGACTTGCTGCTCACGTCGTTCAACCCTGCTCTGAAGATTGTCGCTGCAGCGGACGCCTCCAACTACGGAATTGGCGCCGTGATTTCACGCGTTTTCTGCGACAACACAGAGAAGGCTATCTGTCGTGCAGCCAGATCCCTAACGTCTGCTGAACGCAACTACGGGCAGATCGATAAGGAAGCCCAGGCTAGCATTTTCGCTGTGAATAAGTTTCATAAGATGCTTTATGGACGTCATTTCACCCTTCTCACTGACCAAAAGCCTCTTCTTACTATCTTTGGCTCGAAAAAAGGCATTCCTGTGTACTCGGCAAATCGCCTTCAGCGCTGGGCAGCCATGCTGTTGGGCTACGACTTCGACATCCGGGACCAA